GACCTTGCCTAATTGAATCCCGAATTTTCTTCAAATCTTCATCTTCACTTTGTGCTTTCTTTAAACGTGCAGTTAACCATGTATCTTGCTCGTTGATTATCATACATGTCGGTAATGGATTGCGGCTTAGAGCATCCACATGGGTCATACTCCTGCCAGGGCGATGCTCGATCGTGTAGTCAAACTCCTCTAGTAGCAATGCCCAACGAGCTACTCTGACACATAAGTCCTTTTTATTCATTGTCTGAGTGAAAGCGCGACAATCCGTAACAATAGTAAATGGGATTCCCAGAAGGTAGCATCGGAACTTCTTCAGTGCTTTTACTATCGCTAACACTTCTAGGTCGTAGCTAGCGTATTTTTCTTCGGCTGGCGTCGTGGTTCCACTTGCGTAATAAACTGGATGAAACTGCTGATCCTCACTTCCTCGCTGCATCAAAATGGCACCGTATCCGTGTGCACTAGCGTCTGTATGGAGTTGCGTCTCTGCTGCGGTCCGATACAACGCTAAAATCTCGGGCTAATATCTTCTTAAGTTGCTCGAAAGCGTTCTTCTCTGCATCGTCAAAATGGAAGTCTGTATTGGCTTTCAGCAGATTCGTCAGAGATCGGGCGATCTTCGAATAACCCGGAATGAATTTGCGGAAATATCCACTTAGTCCTAGGAAGCTCTGTACTTGTCGGATAGTCGTAGGGACTGGAAAACTTTGCACTGCCTCGACTTTATTACTGGCAGGACGTAAGCATCCACCCTCAATCTGATGTCCTAGGAATTCAACTTTACTTTGCAAAAATCTACATTTCTTCCAGTTGATGTTTAATTCGACTTGGCTTGCCACTGCCAACACTTTCTGCAGACGTTTCTAGCCATCCTCTTGGCTTATTGAAGGCACGATAAGGTCATCCATATATTTCATTACAACACCTTCTTGTATGAAATTTTTGAAAGTGATGTTTATGAATCTCTGAAAAATGGCAGGAGAATTGCAAAGACCAAACGGAATTCTGGAAAATTCATAATGTCCATCGGGTACTATGAAAGCGGTATACCTCTTGCTCGACTCATCCATTTTCACATGGAAAAATCCATCTCTCAAGTCCAGAGTACTGAATACACTCGCTCCCTGTAAAGCATCTAATTGATCGTCTATCAGCGGAAGAGGGTATCTGTCCTTCATAATCTTTTTATTCAGTTTTCGGTAGTCGACACATAACCTGTGCGTTCCGTTCTTCTTTCACACTAGCACCACTGGGCTGGCGTACTCTGATGTTGACGGTTGAACGATCCCTTTTTCGATCCATTCGTTGATTTGCGTATTCACGATCTCCTTTTCGCCTGGCGATAAATGTCTTGCGCATTGGTACACCGGTTCATCGTCTTTTAACACTAGTTTCATCTTGATGTCGGCTTCTTGCTTCTTTTCTGTTACATAGCTATTGATGGTCTCGTACAGCTTTGCTTTAATATTGTCGTCGATAATATGGGAAATATCTACGTCGGGTTTATTGGCTTCTTTATCTATCACGTCAATTTGGTATACCTCAGGCAGATCGTCGTTACTTGGCTCTTACAAGCTCTTCCGCTTGATTGCTAATTGATTTGATGGTGGTTTCTCCGGCCTTGATGTTGACCTCAAAACGATCCAGGAAGTCGGTACCAATTAACAACGGGTAAGGGATCGCTGTATCTGAGATCACGTAAATACGAATTGGGTGGACGATCGTCAATGGTGATCTTCACGTCAAATTTACCGAGCGCCGTAATTTCTTTAGATTCTATTCCACGGAATGTTACTTCGCATGGCTCAAGCGGTGATCCTCGTTTTAGAAATTCGTCTGCACGCATCAAAGTTAAGTCGCTAGCCGAATCGATCAACGCTTCGATTCTGGAGCCATCTAGTACTATTTCTTTAAGGCACTTGCGTCGTCCTATACGCGTTACCGCACAACTGTCCTTTGAAACTGATTTCTTCATGCACTTAGCTGCAATGTGCCCGTACTCATTGCATCCGAAACATTTTTGTGCGCGTTCCTTAGATGGGCAATTATTGCTTAGATGATCGTACTGTCCACAGTTAAAACAACGTTTAGCCTTTGTCTCTTTATCGCTAGTCGTCTTAATATTCAGATTTTTGGCTGCGCGATTGCTGTTTTGTCTTTCGCCTTTGTTTGATTTCATCGTATTTTGCTCGTGTAAAGATGTTTTTCCTAAAGCTTCTTGCAGAGCATCCGTCGTAGTAAACCGTTGCATGCGTGCTTGATTTCGTAAAGTCTCATTAGGGATACCGTCAATAACATAATCAAGTAGTTCTTCCTTATCGATCGAGAATCGATTACCCATTATTGTCTTGTCGTGCAGGTATTCGTTAAAAGTTTCATCTTCCTTCCATACGCGGTTCTCGAATGCTTTACGCAACGTTAATTTATTTTGGCGAAGCCAAAACATACCTCGCATTTCTTCAAAAAGCTCGTCTGTCGTCATCGTGATATGCTCAGGTTTTGAATGCATCCAATCTAACGCCTTCCCTTTTAACCGCATTCCGATCATTATTTTAGTGGTGTCGTCGCCAAGGCGGTGTGCCGTCTTCAAGAATTTCGCCTGTCGCTCCCAAACCTCATAGTCGCCGGATTTCCCGTTAAATAGCGCGAGTAATTCCGCAATGGCCGTCACATTTATGCGCGCCCATCCTGTGCGTCTGTGACGTCATCGTCGTCCACCTGTCTGTCCGCAGCGTGACTTACATCACGATCTGTTCGTAGCACTTCCAATTCTCGTCGTAACAAAGCTAACTCGCGTTCGGCCATTTCTTTCTCTCGCTTGTACAATTCTGCTTTTCGTTTATAGATGCTCGGAATTGAGTGCGCTCTCGCATCACTTGCGTTGTCCGCCAGATCTTCACCAACATGGCTGTCGCCATCAATGGTCGCCGTCGTCGTTTTCTCGCATTCAAGCGTCGGATGGATCGTTTTCTCTCAATCGCGCGATTAACCCGCTTTTTGAGCCTGACGTTGAAAGCCCACGCGCCCGTAACTTTTGCCTTAACTCGGCTATTGTGAATTGATTCGGGTCAGACATCTTAACTCGTCTTAACTACACTGAGTTAACTCGAAACTTCGTAAGATCTTGCGCGAATCTGTCTCTCACCAATCACTGCTCAGTCGTCGCGACGTACCTCTCGCAGTGAAGCGTTTTCTTTCCGTCGTTATTCTCGTACGATACACTTTTTCGCGGCGAGTCGTCCTTTCGTCGTCGTTGCACTCGCACGACGTACTTTTCGCAGCGAGTCGTCTTTTTCCTCGTCGTTACACTCGCGCGACGTACTTTTCGCGGCGAGTCGTCTTTTTCCTCGTCGTTACACTCGCGCGACGTACTTTTCGCGGCGAGTCGTCTTTTCCCACGTCGTTACACTCGCGCGACGTACTTTTCGCGGCGAGTCGTCTTTTCCCTCGTCGTTACACTCGCGCGACGTACTTTTTGCGGCGAGTCTTTTTCGTCGTCGTTTTACAACGCTATCTTGGCCTTATCCCGGACGAGCCCCCAAAAATTGTAAGGATTTGCCAAATCGTATATCGGTTAGTCTCAGTCACTGCACTACATGCGCGGTCGCCGCCGTGATATTATATCTTCTTCTTCCATATCGCTTTTTGCGCCCTCGTTCTCCGAAGCGCACTCTCGTCTCCATCCGTGCGTGCAACCGCTTACGACTAAAGTCACTAGGCACGCGGCCTAGAGGGCGGGAAACGCGGTCTCTAAAGCGGCGCGTCCCACAATATTTACATGTGAGGAAGGTATTGATGTAGTAGTATGTAGTAATGTATCGATTACACGTAAATCGTGTATAAGTGCTATTCTCAATATGACCATTCGTCTTTAAGCTCCTTAAAGATCTCCTTAAAACTATACGATGGACAAAAAAATTTAAATTTGAATAGGTGCTATAGTCGATTAAATGTAGAGGCAGAGAATTAAGGATGTTCTATACATATTTTCAAAATGATAACAAAATTATGAAAAAATTGCTGATTATTCTAAATCACGTTTAAAGATAATGCGGTAAAGGTGACGCTCTACTATCTGGATCATCAGTTATTTTAATAAATAGTAGCATCTTTTTAATTGTGCTGTAATAAAAATATATGCAAATGAATTATATAGAATGAATGATAGAAAGCTCAACTTTTTATATAAGTACATTATGTATTCAGAATTATTTATGTAGAGTTACATTGCGATGCATGAACTAATTGTCCAGTAAATAAACAAAATACTTATTTGTTCCATATCTTTGTAACTAATCAGTGAATCGCAATGAAACATTGCATAATTTATTTTATGTGAATATTCCAGGTACTTATAAAAGAAAAATGTAATTTGTATAATGGTAATAAGGCTCAATAAATTTACTACAAAAAGAGAAATAGAGCTACCAGCCAAGATTAATACATATGGTCGACAATTAAAATACAAATAAAAATAAAACAATCATCCAATAACTTTAATAACGAATACCGGTAATCACAAACGTTTCGATCCGTATCGGATCCTTCTCAATGTTAAATTAAAAATTAGACTTCTATAACTTCTCTCTATCTCGCAGTACCTCCGCCAACATAATTAGTATGATGTGGAATAACCAGTTATGTATATAATGCATGATTTCAGTTCGACATATGTCATACAAATTCGGTAAAATGAGAGACAGTCATCTAAGATACAATCAGTAATATAAAATATAAGATGAAAAATTACAGTAGTCATACATCGGTAATAAATATAAAATTTATAAATTAGAGTCAATAATATAGTCAGTAATGTGGTCAGTAATATAATGTAATCGTTAATATGAAATGATATGCAATGAAATAACGTCAGACATATAGTTGTATAATATAAAATAAAACAGAAATATGAACTAATATAATTCGTAATATATGCGGAGAGCGATAATAAGATAATAAACAATAAATAATAGGTAAGAGAATAAAATACGAATACCTTCATGTACGCGCTGGCGGTGGTGGCGGAGCCCGCCCGCACTCCCGAAAACGGTAAATGGCTCACGTCAGCGGACGATCCGCCGTCCGCGGCCATAACCTGGCGCTGGAGTGACGGCAGAATACCGTGCCGGAGCCGATGCAGAGGGGAGAGGTTCGTGGCTGTGGACTGGGGGGAGATGACGGTGGTGTCATGCTACTTCCCCCCAAGCCTCAGCTATGCGGAATTTGCCCGGGATATGGACAATATGGACAGAGGACTTCGGGAGGTGCTGCGTAGGGGCCACCCAACAATTATCGCAGGCGATTTTAACGCCAGAGCACAAGCCTGGGACCTGGGACGTCCGAATAGGAGAGGCGACTTCCTCATGGGCTGGATGGGGCTGAGGGGACTCCACCTCATCAACGTAAGGGGAGAACCTACATGCGTGCATCCGCGCGGTACTTCGTCCGTGGACGTGGCATTGGCGACATCAGCGGCGGCCAGGAAAATTACTGGCTGGAGGGTCGCGACAGAGTTGGAATCCTTGTCGGACCACAGGTATATTCTAATGGACATAGGATCAGCGCTCATAGGTACGATAACGGGCGGAGCGGCGCTGAGAATATTTCCTAGATGGGTCACCCGGAATATCAATAGGGACTTGATGGAAGCGGCTGCGATTTTTCACACATGGGAAGGGGGTCGGGATAGCGTCATCCGAGATGCGAGAAGGCTGGACGAGATCCTACGAGACATCTCGGACGTCGCAATGGCGAGAAAGGGCCCGACGAAGCGCCCATCAGTGTACTGGTGGAACGAGGAAATCGCGGAGCTCCGCCGAGTATGCAACGCAAGAAGAAGGAAGCTCACCAGGGCTAGGTCAAGGCCCCATCCGGAGGACGCCAGGCCACTATGGGATGGCCTTAGGGAAGCGAGAAGAAACCTAAGAAGAGCCATCAACAGCTCAAAGGCTAAACTGTGGAAAGAACTGGTGGACGACCTCGACAGAGACCCATGGGGCACACCCTACAGGCTGGTCACCAAAAAGCTAGTGGCAAGTGGGGCTACCATCGTCGAAACGATACCGCCGGACATCGCGGACAACATAGTCGCGTCGCTGTTCCCGACCGGAGATACATCCCGGAATGGCGAGGAGACGTTGGAGTGGCTGGACGAATACAAGGTGACGCACGAAGAGGTACTGGAGGCCAGTGCCAATATTAAGAACGGCAAAGCCCCCGGACCGGATGGCATCCCGGGGTGTGTTCTGAAGGGCACGGTAGGGTGGCTGATCCCATTATGGATCGAATGTTTCACCGCGTGCCTCAGAGAGGGGCGCTTCCCGCGACGATGGAAGGATTCTCGGCTGGTTCTGTTAAGAAAGCCGGGTAAGCCGGAACTGACCCCGTCCTCGTACAGGCCTATCTGCCTACTAAGCGAGGCGGGGAAAATGTTTGAAAGAGTCATAGTGAACAGACTAGGTACACACCTGGAGCGGACCGATGGCATATCGAACAGCCAATACGGCTT